GAGCCGCGTGGACAGCTCCTTCTGCAGCGCGTTCCCTGCGTATTGGAAAGACGCTCTCCCCCACCACCGCGCGCCAGCTCCAGCCACTCAGGTACTTCCCGCTGTCCTCACCGTCACTCAATTTTGAACCAGTAGTTCTTCATGAGATAATAAACTCTTGGCCTTGAGCTCACTATGTAGCCCGGCTGGCCTAGAACTCGAGGCGATCCTCCTGCCTCAGCCTCCCGAGTGCTGGAATCCCAAGTGTGGGCCTTGGATCACTTGGGGCTGACTCACCACCCCTCGGCTGCCATAACTTTGAGTATGTCTTGGTGTCTTTACTGTCACTGCGGGTTGCACTGGAGGTGAGAGCTTGGAATTAATTTGTCAGAATTCCAATTCCATTTCAATGGGATTACAAATATGACTTTCTGGATTGTGAGCTCTGGAAAAGTGCTCACAATATCTGGATTACAATATGCAATATTTGGGTTTCAATACACACCAAAAAAAAAAAAAATCCACCAAAAAACTAAATGTAGTGGCCCACACTTAGGATTCCAGCCCTCGGGAGGCTGAGGCAGGAGGATCGCTGTGAGTTTGAGGCCAGCCTGGGCTACACAGTGAGCTCAAGGCTGCCTGAACTGCATAGTGAGATCCTGATTCACAAATTCAAAATAATAGTAATAATAACAATAATAATAATAGTAAGAATAATAATACTTCTAAAAAGGGTCAGAGCGTGGCTTGGCACGTGCCCCGCCCAGTGAGGGCAGCAGGCTGAAGGAAAGAGGCTGCGGCTGGCAGGGGCGACGGGCAACACTGTTTCCTCCGACAGTGTCTGAGTCCCGCGGTGCAGGGTCGGGGGGAACACGCTGCAGAGGCCCCGGTCGCAGGGAGCCATGGAGGAGGCGCCGAGGAGCTGGGGTGCAACTGGGTGGAGCCCAGGGAGGCTGCAGGGTGGAGACACAAGCAAAGGATGGGACAGGGCTGTGGGGAAGGTGGCAGCTGGTGGCCAGGGTGGGGCAGGAGCTCGGGGGCCCGGGGAACCAGCCGGGCAGGGCCGCCCACCTGACTCATGGCAGAAACTGAGCCGCCCCATCCACCTAGCTTCTTCTCGTCCCAGCCGGGTCGGTGATGGTGCAAGTTAAGTCCCAGACGGCGGGGTACCACCCTCTGTGTCTGTGCCAGCTGCCCTGAGCGCCCATCTGCAAGCGTGCACCTGCATCTGCCTGCAGGGTCTCCTGCAAACTGTCAGCGTCGGGTCTAACCCGTCCTGGCCCTGATTCCAGGAGGTAGGAGTCTGCGTCTCACGTCGTCTGTCACACTAGGATCCCCGAAAGGGCGTGCACGGCACACTAGATAACTACCAGGGGACCCAGCATCAACTCTGACTCCAGCACTTAGGCAATAACTTCTTGGTGAACAACCTGTACATCCAAATCCACAGCAAGCCGGGCGTGGTGGCGCACACCTGCACTCAGGAGGCCAACGCAGGAGGCTTCTCACAAGTTCCAGACCAGCCTGGGCTACAAAGTGAGCTCAAGGCCAGCCTGAACTGCATGGGGGACCCTGTCTCAAAAGAAAAAACAATCCACATGGAGCCGACCCTCACCAAAGAGGGTGTCTCAGACCCCCTAGTCCTCCTCTCCTTTCTCCAATCTCTTCTCCTTGTTGGAAATGCCTTCCCTCCCCAAGCTAACGAACTCCTGCTCATCCTTCAAAGCTCCAAACTAAGACCCTGCTTTCTATGAAAGTTTTGAAGACCCGGCTCCAGGTGGAGTTCACAGCACCCACCTCTGGGCTCCCCAGCCTCCCCTCTGCCGCACCGGGTTAGCAAAACCGGATGGGAAGTCTTCTGGGGGTGTCAGCCTCGCTGGGTGGGTAGCTCTTCCAGGTCAGGGCTATCACTTCCAAGGTGATCTGTGGGTGCCCTAGAACTGATTTTTACAATAAAGAATAAAGAAAATGGACTTTGCTGATGTTCACTAATATTTGTTGTGCTTCTCTCCGCAAAAAACCTCAAAATACGAATATTTCTCATCAGCATGTGGAACTCCCCCAAAGAAACCACATAGTAGGCATTAAGCTTAAATAAATGTCAAAGAATTAAAATTATACCATGAATATTACCCGAGATGAAACTGCAAAAGAAAAGGCAGGAAAGATGCAAATGGGCGGAAACTGAACCACACACCCTTAAATAAACAATGGGCGGCCGGCAACAATCAGCAAGCAAGTGAGACAGGGTCCAGCACCCAGCACGGTGCCGGTGCCGGCCCAGCACAGCGGAGCTCGGGGCCAGCAGCTCTCCTGTACACAAAGCATGATTGCATTAAGAAAGAAATTAGGAAACTGTACCATTCACAAGAGCGCCAAGAGAAATGAAATACTTAGGAATTAATCCAACTGGGACAGTGAAAGACTCCTACACCGAAAACCACAGTGTTCTGAAAAAGGAAATCACACAAGACATTAGCAAACGACAGACTGGCCCGTCCCTGGATAAACAGAAGCAACATAGACCCAGTGACCCAATGGCAAAACGGATACACAGATTTAACGCAGTCTCAGTACGAATACTAGCAGCGTTCGCCACGGAGCTGGAGAAAAGGACCCGGGCTTTAGCTCAGCGGTGCCCGCGCTTGCCAGCTAGGCCTGCGGTCGTGAGTTCAATCCCCGGAACCCACCACCCAAAAAATAACTGGAGAAAAATCCAAAATTTATACAGAACCAGAAAAGACCCAGAAGAGCAAAAGCCACTCTGGGTCTAATAAAGCGGGGGCTTCACAATCCCAGACTTGAAGTTATATTACAAGGCTAGGGTGCGGTACTGACACGGAAACCCAGGAGCAGGGTCAATGGAACAGAACAGGAGAGGCAGGAGCAGCACACACGGGAGGAAAGACAGCCTCTTTAGTGAAGGGTTTGGGAGAGCTGGCTGGCCACATGCAGAATTTAGATCCTTATCTCTTCCCATGCACCAACCTAAAATCAAAATGGATTAAAGAACTAAATATTAAAACAGGCCTGGTGGCGCCCTCCTGTCATCCCCGCATGGGGAGGCTGAGGCAGGAGGATCCTCGCAAGTTTGAGGCCAGCCTGGGCCACGAAGAGAGCCCAAGGCCAGGCTGACCCACATAACGAGACCCTGTGTCAAAAAAACAACAAAAAATCTCAGTGTTAAAACAGAAACACTTAACCTGGGGAAAGGCAAAATAGGTAAAACTCTTGAAATCCTAGGTGTAGGCAAAGACGTTTTGAACTGGACTTTCCCTGGTTGCACTGGAGAGTATCAAAAAGCAGTAAATAGGATCATATCAAATCAGAAAGCTTTCACACAGCAGAAGAAACAACCAACAGACTGAAGAGAAAACCTACAGAAGGGGAAAATAATTTATCTTTCTCTTTCCTTTTAAAAAATCCATTTTATTCAAACAGAAGAAGAAGAAAAGAAGAGGAAGAAGAAGAAGAAAAACTACCACAGAATTTTAGAGTACATCAACGGGGGTATTGTCCAAACAACACTAATATAAATCTTTCTCTTCACTGAACTCAGAGAAATCAGTAGTGTAACTATCTCAACTATTTTTATGTACATATACACACACATAAACATGTTTTTTCTTTCTGCTTCTCACACTAATGAAACAATGTGGCATTTACACATGTGTCACTAATGAGTGTGTTCTCCAGGTGCACCCATTTACCTATAAAAGTGTCCCGTTTATCTTTGTTATGGCTGAGTAGTACTCCACTGTATAAAAACACCACATCTTCTTTCATCCATTCCTCAGTCAATGGGCATCTAGGTTAGGGAAAATAATTTTTGCCAGTTATTTTTAGAGGACTATTATTCAGGATATGCAAAGAACTAACCAAAAAAAAGCCCTCCAAGATAAATGACTCAATCAAAAATGGGCCCTTGAAATGGGCAGATACATTACAGCAGAAATATAAATGGCTAATAAACACATGGAGAAATGCTCACCATCTCTGTCTCTTAGAGGAATGCAAATTTAAAAAACACTGATATTCGGGGGCTGGGGATTTAGCTCAGTGGCATAGCTCAGCCTTGCAAGCAGGCTGTCGTGAGTTCGATCCCCGGTACCAATAAAATTAAAACAAACAAACAAACAAACAAACACTGAGATTCGATCCTACCCCGGATAGAAAGGCTATCAACAGGAAATCTGTAATGATGCTGCGACGGCCGGGGGAGGTTTCTATTTTGTTTACCAGCACAACCTCTGTGGAAATTCGTGTGGAGATCCCTCAGAAAGCTGAAACCTGGGCCGGGGATACAGTTCAGCAGCACAAGCGCCCACCTGGCAAGCGCGAGGTCGTGGGTTCGATCCCCGGTACCAGAAACCAAACTAAACTAAAACTAGAAAATCTATTTCACCCAGCTACTTTCCTTTGGGACATCACATCACAGTGACACACGCATACCCACGGTCACAGCAGCATAAGGCCTGGAAGCAGCCTGCATGTCCAACAGATGAATGGATAAAGGAAATGTGGTATTGAGCCGGGCACGCCTGTCATCCCAGCCCTTGGGAGGCTGAGGCAGGAGGACCCCTGCGAGTTCGAGACCAGCCTGGGCTACACAGTGCGCTCCAGACCTGCCAGAGCTGCATAGAGACATCCTGTCTCAGAGAGAAAAAAAAAAAAAAAAAAAAAAAAAAAAAAAAAAAGAAGAAGAAGAAAAGAAAAACGTAGGATTTACACACAAGGGATATCTCTGCTACAAAGTTGAGTCATTTATAGGAAAATACATGCACCTAGAGACCACAATGGTGAATGAAACAAATCAGCCACCCAAGCTTCATCCGACCCTTCAAAAAAACTAAATAAAGAACAAAAGACCGAAGAAGGGACTCGAACCAGCACTCTCAAACCTGCCCAGCTCCTCCCGGGCACCTCCCCAGGCCCCGCCCCAGATTCGCTCAGCTTCCTAACCTTGTTCGCCCCGCCCCTCGACCTAGAGAGCATGCGCCTTAGGCGCAAGGCATGCCGGGCATCGTAGTTCCGCTATCGAACGGAAGCCGAGAAGGACGCTCGCCAGCATGTGGCCCGGAATGTTAGTGCGGGAGGTCCGGGGGGCGTCAGGCAAGTTCTCGGTGCTGAGACCTCGCCTCGCCTTTCGCGTCCCGTCGCAGCGGATCCTCGGGAGCGACCTGGCCCTGCGGCGGAGCCTGCACGCCACGGCCGCCCGGACCATCCCGCTCATTCCCATCGTGGTGGAGCAGACGGTACAGCGGCCCGGTGGGGCGGCCCGGGCTGGGGGAACTGCGGGTCCCCCGGCCTCTCACTTCCGTCTCTGCACTCCAGGGTCGCGGCGAACGCGCCTATGACATCTATTCGCGGCTGCTGCGGGAGCGCATCGTGTGCGTCATGGGCCCGGTGAGCGCCGGCGGGCCCCCATCCCTGACGGCCTCCCTGACACCTAGGACCCCGCTTCCATTCCTACGCTCCAGCCCGCTAGTGCTGACCCGAGACTGTCCTGTGCTCCAAACTCCTTGGTCCTGACTGCACCCGAGAGTCCTCTGCCCTGTGTCCTGAATTCTTCCTGATCTCTCTTTTTTTTTTTTGGGGGGGGGGGGTCTGTGCAGGATATTGAACTCAGGGCCTTGAGCTAAGTCTCCGGCACTGTATTTTGATTATTTTCAGATAGGGTCTTGCAAAGTCACCAAGTTTCCCTGTTAAGGCACAAACTTTCCATCCTCCTGCCTCAGCCTCCCAGAAGTGCTGGTGTGCACCACCGAGCCAGGCTTTCCTGTCCCTTTTTATTTGGGACATGACTGGCCTTCCTGGTTTCCTGATCCATCCCCAGCAACCCCTGAAAACCCCTCCCTTAAATCTCTCTCCCACACCTCAATCTGGGAATGCCGCCGTCTCCCCACCTGCAGATTGATGACAGTGTTGCCAGCCTGGTCATTGCGCAGCTGCTGTTCTTGCAGTCAGAGAGCAACAAGAAACCCATCCACATGTACATCAACAGCCCGGGTGAGCGGGCCTTTCCCTGGGGCAGGGGGCACTGAGGGACCCAGGTCTGACATCCCCGGTTCCCTTGGAAACCCCTTCAGTGTCTTGAAACCACCAAAAGGAGCCTATAGCTTCCTCTTGTTTTTGTTATCTGGTTGCTTTGTTTCGTTTTGTTGAGGTAAGATCTTGCTGTGTAGTTCAGGCTGGCCTTGAACTCACTATGTAGCCCAACCTGGTCTGGAACTCACGGTGATCTTCCCGCCATGGCCTCCTCTGTGGTGAGCTCATAGGCATGTGCCACCATGCCAGGCTGCTTTTATTTCTTGAAACAGGCTCTTTACCCTGTTGCCCAGGCTGCCTTCAGGATCTTGGTGGTCCTCCTGCCTCAGCCTCCTGAGTTCGGGGATGAGAGGACAGTCTTACACCACCACACCTGGCCTCTAGCTTGCTTTGAAGTGCAGATTTACCAAAAGTGTAGGTTCACAAACCAACAGCTAAATTCATGCCATACGTACGATGTGCCCTCTTTGACCCCACGTACAGTGTTTTGCCAACTTGACCTGGTCAGCGCTTTAATTGGTAGATAGCTGGGCACAGTGACATATGTCTGTAATCCCAGCACTCAGGAGGCTGAGGCAGAAGGATCTTGACTTTGAGGCCAGCCTGGACCACATAGGGAATTCAAGGCCAGCCTGGGTTGTGTAGTGAGACCCTGTCTCAAAAAACTAAGCCAGGCAAGAAGGTGTAGACCTGTAATCCTAGCACTCTTGAGTGGCTGAGACAAGAGGATCGAAAGTTTGAGCTCAGTCTGGCCAAGTTCGTGACTTAGCAAGATGCTGTGTCAAAAAAAAAAAAAAAAAAAAAAAAAAAAATATATATATATATATATATATATATATATGGAAAAGACTGGAAATGTTTAACCTGGGCGAGGGACCTGGGTTCAGTACATAGTACTGCTAAAATACATAAGTGGGTAGATTGTGCCCACTCCCCAACAAGAGACTGGATAATTTTGACTGCTCACACACTGTGCCGAGTTCTTTCTGAAGTGTTCTTATCTTTGCTGTCACTCAGATCTGCATGGCTAGAGATGCCGGGTGGGTTGCCCAAGGTCACACTGGTGACGAACCCCCCAGCCGACATTCGGGGCAAATAGGGTGCCTGCAGTGCGCCTGCCCTTAGCCTCTGAGCTCCTCTGGTTTCTGGCCTCTGTTGGCAGATGGTGGCCCTGGTCCCCCTGGCCCTTAACCTAGATGTAGTCTCCTGGCTCTGGCGTGAGGACTGACCTTGCTGCCTGTACCCGCCCTGCGTCACCTCTCTGCCCCCAGAGGCAGATCTGTCTGTGCCCCGCTGCAAAGAGCAGCCTCTCCCCAGGGCCAGGGGCGGGATGGGGAAGCCTGGGGAGGGGCTGGCACAACCCTCACTTGCTCTCCTGCCCGCCTGCAGGCGGCGTGGTGACTGCAGGGCTGGCCATCTACGACACGATGCAGTACATCCTGAACCCCATCTGCACGTGGTGCGTGGGTCAAGCCGCCAGCATGGGCTCGCTGCTTCTGGCTGCCGGCAGCCCTGGCATGCGACACTCTCTCCCCAACTCCCGGATCATGATCCACCAGCCCTCCGGGGGTGCCCGGGTGAGTGGCAGCCTCCCTGACCCAGCCCTGTCCCAGGCTGCAAGTCAGGGTCAGACGGTGGGGATGGGAGGTCGTGGTGTTTTCAAATGTGGGCTCTGGCCAGTGGGGCAGGTTGAGCACTGAGAACAGAGACCAAGTCAGGTTGCTCCGGGCCGTGGGTTCGAACCCCAGTGCTGCTTACAAATGCAGGCGGCAGACACTCTGTGCTGTTCTCATCGCTGAACAGGTGCTGTCCGCCCGCATCCCAGAGAAGGAAACGCTGCAGCAGATTTCATTACCCTCCCTGTGCCCAAGGTGTGATGGGTCACACGGGTACTCCAGCATGCTGGGAGGCCGATGCAGGAGGATTGCAAGTTTTGCCCAAGCTTGGACAGTTTAGCAGTTTAATGAGCTCCTGTCTCAAAAAAGCTGGGCGTGGTGGTGCCTGCACTGTAATCCGAGCACTCGGGAGGCTGAGGCATCACTGCCAGTTCAAGGTTAGCCTGGGCTACATAATGAGACCCTGTCAGGTAACAAACAGAGAAAGGAAAAAAAATACAGTTAATAACATCAACAACAACAACAAAAGACGGGAAACACAGGCTGAGTGTGCGGCTCAGTGGTAGAGGGCTCACTCAGAATTCATGAAGCCTTGGGTTCCATCCCAGCAGCAAAAAGAACAGATTAGAAGACACTGCAGTCTATGGCCAGAGCTTTCCAGGTAGAGGCTAAGGTTAAGTAAGATGTGGGGGGCCTGGCAGGCCACCACGCCCCATGGGAGCTGCCTGCGCTCCGGCCTTCACCATCTGTCTCCCCTGGGATTCTCCCTCAGGGCCAAGCCACAGACATCGCCATCCAGGCAGAAGAGATCATGAAGCTGAAGAAGCAGCTGTACAACATCTACGCCAAGCACACCAAGCAGAGCCTGCAGGTGATCGGTGAGTGTCCCCCCTCGGTCTCCGGTGCACCCCGGGGGCGTCAGGCACTGTCCTCAGACAGGGCTTCCCGCCTCGGCGGCCTGCCAGCAGCTGTTCTCAGTGGTGAGGGAGCCCAGCCCTGAGGACACAGAGCAGCAGCCCGGTCCCCGCTGGCTCCCTGCCAGGTGTCTCTCATCTGCGATGACCAAAGACATCTCCGGCCACTCGCGCCACCAGTGCACGAGGCCTGAGCTTCCATCCCCAGCGCCGCAAAACAAACAACCAAAGAATAAAAAATAAAAAAATAAACTGCACTTGGCAGTCGGGTCGCCTGGCAGCCAGAATCGCTTCCACTTAGAACCACTATTGTTGGCCTTTTAAAGCTTCCACTTAGCGGCCGGGGGTGGCTCCGAGGGAGAGTGTGAGCTACTGGTTGAGTCCCCCGAACCTGGAAAAAAAAAAACCCAGCTAGCAGGGCTTGGTAGGTGACTCACACCTGTCATCCCAGCACTCGGGGAGGCTGAGGCAGGAGGACCACAAATTCAAATCCAGCCTGAGCAACTGAGATGTAGCAAGACCCTGCCTCACAATGAAAAATAAAAAGGGCTGGAGAAACAGCTTATCCGTACCCCTTCCTGGTCCTCGGGCAGTGTGGGGAGGTCTATACTTGTAGTCCCAAAAGAGTTACTGGAATTCCAGAGAGTTCAGTTACTACCGACCACTTCCTGTGCAACCCAACGTGAGATTAAAGACACTAAGACATATTTATAGGTGTCGGGAGCCACGGGGTCCTGAGTCCAGCCAGGACGGTGGGACAGAGGCCACGGCCAGGGCCCAGCCGAGTTTTGTTACCTCCCCATGAGAGTGTCTGGAAATACACAAGTGTGGTGAGCTGGCTGGGCAGCAGGCCTGAGATCACCTCTGTGATGTGCAGTGAGCCGTCCGCATACACGGCCGGAGGAGCGGCCGATGCTCTGGGCTCGGTGTTCAGCTCTGATGCGTGATCTGTTCTGCCCTGGGAAGTCACAGCCCCGTAATCTCGAGGCGCCATCGTAGCCGACAGTGTGGAGCAGTGTATCTTCATCCAGCCCGGCTCAACCATGTTTTTTGGGGAGTGACGAGGCAGGAAAACGGTGCCTGTTGCCTCACTTCAAAGATCACTCATCAGCTCCCCTGCCAGCCCAAGTTACAGTGCTTATTATAGCCAATCGAAGGGACCACGAAATGGCCCAGCCAGCTCTGTACAGGGCTGAGTTTAGCCAAAGGGCAGATGACTTCGCTCCTTTCGTGGAGAGTGGAGAGTAATCCAGGTGATTCGCCACAACAGCTCAGTGCAAAGGCCCTGGGGTTCATCCCAGTGTTGCAAGAAGAGGAAGGAGGGAAAAAGAGAGGGTGTTCGATGTAACGGCAGCATTATGGGGCTGGCATCTGGCTCAGGGGAGCACTTGCCTGGCACATGTGAGCCCCTGGGTTCCATCCCTAACACCGCTTTAAAAAAATAAATATATATATTGTACTGTGGGGGAAACCGAGGCATACAGCAGCTAAGGCCAGGGTCATAAGAATTAGCAGAATGAGGACCTGCCTCTGCTCAGGCTGCAGAAACAAAATATCATCAGCGGGGTGGCTTGAACAACACTGATTCACATTTCTGGAGACTGGAAGCCAGCATCAGGGACTGGAGGGGCTGGTTGCGGGTGAGGCATCCGCCCGGCTTGCAGGTGACCGCCTGTCGCCGTGTTCTCACAGCCATCCACAATTAAAGTCAGAGCTTCAGTACGTTATTCAGGTTGGCTGTGAACTCACACGTAGCCCAGGCTGGTCTCGAACTCACAGTGATCCTCCTGCCTCAGCCTCCCGAGTGCTGGCATCACAGGTGTGCACCCCCGCCACACCTGGCCTCCAGTCTGCTCCTCCCCGCCATGTGTTCTGCCTCCCCCCAGAGTCGGCCATGGAGAGGGACCGCTACATGAGCCCCATGGAGGCCCAGGAGTTCGGCATCCTGGACAAGGTCCTGGTCCACCCGCCCCAGGACGGTGAGGACGAGCCAGAATTGGTGCAGAAGGAGCCCACGGCAGCGCCAACAGAGCCTTCCAAGCCGGCCAGCAGCTGAGAGCCAGACCACCTCCCAGGGCACGTGGGAGCCCGCAGGGGCCCTGGAGGAACTGTGGGTGCGGGCGCCCCAATGGGCGGGCAGCCTGGCTGAGACACTGTGATGTAAATTAAACCTTTGCAGTGCTTTTTCTGCACCTGCGGCGCCTCGGCTCACTACAGCAAGGATTGTGGGTCCCCAGACCCGGACCACGGCCCCCTTCAGAGCACAGCTGCATCCCAGGAGGTGACACACAGCTGTCTTCCAGGGTGCATGATCCTGTGTGGGTGGGGATCGGGAGCACGTAGAAGGAGGCAGGCGGAAGTGCTGTAGGGTACATGGGGTGCTCACAGGGCCACACTGACAAGGCAACAGGGCACAGGTGTCAGGGTGCAGCCACCTCAGCGCATGGGCAAAGAGCAGTCTGGGCAGTGGGCACAGCCAGTGCAAAGGGACTGCAGCAGGCCTGTGGCCAGCATGGGGGCAGGGCCATGAGGGCTCCTGGCTGGGCCAGAGCAGAAGGGCTGGGGTTCCAGGGGGCCATGCAGGGCTTTGAGCAGAGGGACTCTAGCTTGGGTTCGGGGTTGAGATGTGAAAGAAACTAGCTTGTGGAACCAAGCTCTGTCATCCCAGCACTCTGGGAGGCTGAGGCAGGAGGACTGCTGGGACTTTGAGGCCCGTGTGGGCTACATGATGAATTCAAGGCCAGCTGAATTACACAGTGAGACCTTGTCTACAAACAAAAACCACGCTGTCTGCACAACACAGCTAGAAAGGTAGCTGTTTACTGAGGTGTGGAGCTGAAGGGGTACAGGAGGCTGGGTAGGGCAGAAGCAATTCAGATGCGTCTTGATGGTCGCTAGCCTCTCCATGTGGGCAGGGGGCACAGTCAGTTGAAAACGCTAGCCGGATGGTGTGGATACATCTGACAGACCTGTCTATTGGGTGTGCAATCATGGCTGCTTTGGTGGCTTTAAATCGCAGCACGTTTCAGGATCACAGCACAAAGCTAGCGGATCAAAAAGGAATGTGAGGAAAAAAAATAGCATTAGAGACGCCTTCGAAGGAGCTATATAAGCCCGTGTGCTGGCACAGAACTGTGATCGCAGCTCTCAGGAGGACCAACGGACTCCAGAGCACCTTGGGCAATTTTTCGAGACCCTGTCTCAACAGTGGAGCAGGAAAGGGTGGGGGCGCAGTGGTAGAGCGCTTGCCTGGCATACGCCAGGCCGAGGGTTCTTGTGCTGCAAAATACATAAATCTTTACAAAGCCAACAAAACCAAGTACTGTATTTTCTGAGAAGAGAAAATGGATGACACCTTGCATTGATTCTGTTTTGTTTTTTTGAGACAGCGTCCCGTCATGTAGTCCCAGCTGGCCTTAAACTCACTTTGTAGCCCACGCTGCTGTCGAACTCCCAGCGACGGCCACCCAGTGCTGGGATGACAAGGGTGAGCGCCACGGCTGGCCTGCTTGGCACTGACTTGACTGCAACCGTGCGCTTCATCTCTAACCCTGGCCAATTTTGTAACCTTAGCCCAAATCCTCCTATGACCGCTGACCTCGGACTCCAAGCCTGATCCTTCCCTCCCCTCTGTACCAGGTCTTCACCACGCACCAGATCAACTGGGTATTTTCCCATTGCAGATAAAAGGGGCGTGGCTAGGGTCCGACTGTAGATAGACTTGCGACAGAGCCAATAATCTGAGTGGGTGTGTTTGCTGGCGCCCAATAGCTCGGGAGCGGCGGCGGGCTCAGGGGGAGCCAATAGTTCGAGAGAGCGAGCCGAGCAGCGACCAATAGCCTGGAGCGGTAGGCGGGACTTTAGGTGAAGCCAATCGCTGGAGCTATCTGGCAAGACCACATCCAATCACTGTAGAATGGGGCGTGGCCCTGACCCCGGTCCTCTTAACACTACCCAGCTCCGGCGTCATGGCCGGGAGTGGGGGACTGGCTTTGAGGACGCTGCCGGGGTCGGCCTGGGTGCGGAGCTCGGGCTCCGCGTTGCTGGGCCGCCTGAAGGATGTAGCTGTGGTGCGTCCCGGATTCCTGAGCAAGGACGAGGAGGACACGCTGAGCGGCGAGCTGGAACCCGAGCTTCGGCGTCGCCGCTACGAATACGATCACTGGGACGCGGTGAGGTCGAGGCGGCGGGGCGGGTGCTGGAGGGGCGGGGCGGCGTGTAACGTGGTGGGCGGGGCTGTGGGCGGGGCATGAAGTATGCACTGCGAAGGGGCGGGATCTCCTCTGGCGAGTGGAGCAGAGAGCGCTTTGATAATGAGGCCTGGGCCAGAACTGGACCAGGGTCTGGAGTCCAGGAGTGTTTTGGGACCAAGTTGAGGGGCAAAAGTGGGTGTGGAGTCGTGGCGGGGGCCAGGTAGAGGTGGCATTGCGAGCTGAGCACAGGGACGCGCTGGGGAAACCCTGCCCCTCTGCCCTTCGCTTTCCCTGTTTCCCCTGGGGGTTCCCTGGCCTGACCCAGCCGTCTCCCTGCAGGCCATCCACGGCTTTCGGGAAATAGAGAAGTCCCGCTGGACAGAGGCCAGCCGGGTCATCCTACAGCGCGTGCAAGTGGCTGCTTTTGGCCCTGGCCAAACTCTGCTGTCTCCAATCCACGTGCTGGACCTGGAGCCTCGGGGCTACATTAAGCCCCACGTGGACAGCGTCAAGGTGGGCAGAGGCTGTTGCCCCGAGCTGCCAGCCAGCGGTGCGCAGGGCAGGTTGGAGCCTGACCCACCACTGCGGCTCCTTTGCAGTTCTGTGGAGCCACCATCGCTGGCCTGTCCCTCCTGTCTCCAAGTGTCATGCGGCTGGTACACACCCAGGAGCCAGGGCAGTGGCTGGAACTCTTGCTGGAGCCTGGCTCCCTCTATATCCTAAGGTACAGCAGAACCAAGGGCACTGCCACCCCGGGGTCGTGCAGGACACCCACTGGCACTTGGGGCCCCTTCTCATTGGGCTCCCACTGCAGATGCTACCCCCCATATCCCGGGCAGGAGTGGGGGACAGCAGAGGGACTGGGACCCTGTTTTGCCTGGAGCAGCTCTGCCTTTGGCCCTTCCCTTCACAGTCCTTTTGTCTTGCAGGGACTCGGCCCGTTACGATTTCTCCCATGAGATCCTCCGAGATGAAGAATCCTTTTTTGGGGAGCACCGGGTTCCCCGGGGTCGACGCATCTCTGTGATCTGCCGCTCTGTCCCTGAGGGGGTGGGACCAGGACAGCTACCCCCAGCCTGCTGACCCCCAGGCAGACCCTCAGCTTCTCCCAGAAGCCGGATTTGTAAATAAAGTTGGACAAGGCAGCTGTCTGGCCTGCTAGAGGGAGCCCAGGGTGGCACCCACCAGTCCCAGGGTGTGGGAGCCCAAGGTGGTGGCGGTACACTCAGGAGGCCAGGAAAGCAGTTCTTTATTGTGTGCACGGATGGCGTCCAGCCCCCTTCCCCATCTTGGCCTCTTGCACCCAGGCTCCCATAAATAAGCCAGCCAAGCCCTGGGAGTGCTATAGCTGTTGGGTGCATACGGCTGCAGGGCACCGGGCTGGGCACCCTCAGCCACCACAGCCACAGGCAGCGGCCGAGAGCTGGGGCAGCCGCTGCCAGCGGTGACGGTCGTCCAGGAAGGCCACGTCAGCGTAGCGGGTGGGCCGGCAGCAGGGTCCACCGTGCGCTTGACCCTGGCCCCGCAGTCGGGCCAGCGTCAGGCCGTGCTGGGTGCGGGCACCACGGGGGCAGCTGCCGGCGCAGTAGCGGAAGGTAACCTTCTCCTCCGAGGTGTAGCCCAGTCCTAGCTCTGCCACGGGCAGCGTCAGGCTCCACAGCTGGCACGGGCTGCCAGGGGCTCTGCGCAGGCGGATGTGGGGGTGGTGGGTCTCTGGAGAGACAAAGGACACTGACGAAGGTAGGGTCCCAGCAGGAAGGAGACGGGAGGTCACTTGGGCTTCCCTGTGGGTCCTTACCCAGCGGTGGCCTCCAGATCCCTGCAGCCTCTGCCTTCTGCTCAGGCGAGAACTCTCCCTCTGCCACCAGAGCGTCTTGGGCATCGGGGCCCCTGCCGCGGCCCAGCTGCAGTGACAGAAGCAGCAGCGAAGCCAGCAGGACTCTCCCAGTGGCCATGGTGGCAGGAGGGTCCTGAGGCTGAGGAAGTTGGAGCCCTGAATTTATCCCCTGCCGGGGGCGGAGGGGCAGGGGGAGCACTGACTTGTCACTGCTGGGTCCCACAGGCAGGGAGAGCGTGTCCTGACCCTGTGTGGTTGTCCCTGGCTCTCAGGTCCAAGGATGGGCTCCTCCTGCTTCACACCCCATCCTTTAAGGGTTAAGGGCTTGTCCCACCGCACCCCGTCCAGACATTCCACAGACCCTTTTCTGACACCCCCTGATTTACGAGTCATCTGGGCTGCCAAGGCCAAGCCTGGATGGATCACCGGTGTCCCCACCCCACCTGCTGTCTGGAGGGATCCCAGTCCATGACGGCAGGAGCAGGGCCCAAGTGCCCCTGTGGGTGCTGGGTGGGGCAGGTGCTGGGAAGGGCGGCTTGGCAGGTAGGGAGGCAGCGGGGATTAAGCCATCATGCCCGTCTCCGGGCTTGGCTGAGCCAGCATCAAAACAGGAAGAGGGAGAGGCTGGGGACGGCCAGGTGCTGGGCCAGGGGGCCAGGGACGCTGTGGCTCGGAGGCCAGCTCAGCGCTCCTTGGCTGAGGCTTCTTCCAGGGTCTGAGTACCAGGGCCTGAAGGGAGGCCGAGACCCATCGTGTGCGAGATGGAGCCACTGGCAGGTGGAGGTGAGATGCAACTGTGACCTGGTGTGATCTGGGGAACATCTGGGGTTTAGTTCAGTCTCTGCACTGAGAAGCTGCCCACACTGGGGATGGAACCCAGGACCTTGGGCATGCATGGCAGACGCTCACCACTGACCCCATTCGCGTCCCATTATGGTTTTTGGTTCCAAGAATCGAACTCAGGACCTTGTGCTTGCCAGGAAGGTGCTTATGCCTCTGAGCTGTATCCCCAGCCCCCCTGTTCCTTGTTATTATTAGACAAGGTTTTAAATTACTCGGGCTGGCTTCAAACTTGATTGGGATTGTGTGCATATATATGCTTCATTTTTTAGATATATTTTTGTTTTGTTGTTTTGGTTTTTATCGGTACCGAGGATCGAACTCACGACTGTCTGCTTGCAAGGCAGGTGCTTATGCCGCTGAGCTAAATCCCCAGCCCCCAATATGCTTCATTTTTTTTTTTTTTAACACGTACTATGGCATGAATGTTTCATTTTTTGAGTTAGGGTCTTGTTACCTGGTTTAGACTGGCCTCAAATTTGTGGCAGTCCCCCTGCCTCAGCTTCCTGAGTGCTATAATTAAAAGCATAAGGCACCAAGCCTGGCATAGGTTGGTTTTTGTAACACCAGGGATCATACATGGCAGGTAAACACTCTGTCGCTAAGCCAGGCATCCCAACCCTTTTGCCTTGGGACAGCATCAAACTCCAGATCCTCCTGTCTTGGCCTCCTGAGCTGCGGGGACCCCAGGTGTGCACCCCTGCCCTGGGTCCAAGAGCTTCTGAGGCCGAGGAGTGCTTGCCTGCTGTGACTTTAAGCAGGGATCCGACCCTATGCACACAGGAGGTCATCTGTCCCAAGAAACCTTCACCCAGGACAGCCAAGAAGGGTGGCCACAGTCCACCCTGGAAGACCATAAACTCTGTCCTCAGGGGACACAAGTGGTGGTTACTGGCCTATACTTACTCAGATCACTCTGGGGCCAGTGATGGAACACCAGTGCAAGGTCCTGAGTTCAAATCCTGATACAAACACCCAAAACAAAAACAAAACAGATTACCCTGGAAAGTCACTTGCCTGCAGTCACCCAGATTTACCAAACAGGCCTGGGCTTTGAACCCTGTTCCTGACCCTTGGCCATGCTGCTCGTCTTCCTGGTACAGAGGCTAGACTGCGGTCCACGTCGGGCACAGCAGGGGCTGAGCCTCCAGGGCCAGGCACGAGAGCTGCCTTCCAGCCCCCAGAGAGGTCCAGCAGGGACATTCCTAGGAATTAGCCTGACATCTCCGGCATCCCTGCTCGGCACACACATGCTCCTGGACAGGGAACTTTCCCACCAAGGTTTCCAGCCCGGCAGCAGGAAAGCCTGCATCCGGCTCCCAGCCCCATCGCTTGGCACCCAGGTTCACAGCGGGGCTGCAGCCTGGTTCCATTCTTGGCTACATTACTGCCCGGGACCTTGAAACACCCTTCCTAAAGAATGCTTTGCAATGCTGATAAATCAGTCCTCAGCTTGGCAAGGCGTGAGCAGAACCCCAGACATCTGTGGGGGACAGAAAACAGGGCCTGGATGCTAACGCCAGCACTGAGGGTGTGGGCTCCGGTGGCCATGTGGGGACAGAGTCCCTGAGCTGAGAACCCCAGAGAGAGGGGCACAGGTGGGTACCACTGGGTGGCTGGCAAAGCCAAAGAGATGCCATGTGGGGGACTCACCCACCCCAACACCCAAAGCCAGGAAATCACCTAGGGGCGCGGCGGTGGAAGGCACACAGGGTGCTGGTTAACCGGATGCTAGATGTGTCTGACAGAATGTATGATAAACGTGCTTAAAATACAAAGATGTGAAAGGCAGCCAGTTATGATGGCCAGTGCCCGTAATTCCAGCACCCTGAGGAGGCTGGAGCAGCAGGATGCTAAGTTCAAAGCCACCCTGGGCTGTGTGGTGAGCTGAAGGTCAGCCTGGGTTTCACAGGGAGATCCTGTCTCAAAAAAAAAAAGAGCCAGGTGTGGTGGCCCACGCCTGTCACCCCAGCTCTCGGGAGGCTGAGGAAGGAGGATCTTTGCAAGTTCAAGACCAGCGTGGGCTACAAAGTGAGCTCAGAGCCAGACTGAACTGCACAGCGAGACCCTGCCTCAAAAGGACCCCTGCCCCCAAAAAAGAAAAACAACATCAATCTGAAACACATACAGGTAACTCTGGGTAAATGACAACGGAGCATACAGTGGATAATGCTGGGCTCACGCGAGGGCAGAAGGGGGCAGGGACATCTGGGCTGTCCTGGTTACCCGGCGGGGCTCAGTCCATAGTGGGACCTTCTGAGCTCGAGCGCCGAGCCCCGGCCAGATGGGCCAGATGAACGCGGGCGCAGGAATTGGGAGGCAGAGCCGGGCGGGGTGCGCAGCCCTTTATTGGGGCGGCCTCACTCCTTGAGGGAGAAGTGCATCTTGTCATTGATCATCTTGCGCTCGGGGTTGAGGCGCTTCAGGATCTGGGCCAGCACGTTCACTGTCTGCTCGCTGCTCAGCCCGGTCTTCTTGGTCTGGAATTTCTTCAGCAGGTCCTTGGTGGTCATGGGCTTCCGGGTCAGGTAGCGCCGCACGGCGTCCTCGGTCACCTGCACATCGCTGTGGGCCGCGAGCAAACGTCACCGAGGAGCCACCTCGGCCCAGGGGTGCTGGCTCCCCTGCCCCGCCCGCCCCGCGGACTCACCCGCTGCTGGGCGTGGACTTGCCGGACGGCGGCTGCGGCGTGGACTTCCCGGAAAGGCTCTGGGGCCCGGCGTCCAGCCGCAACCGCTTGGCGGCCGGCGTCTCGCTGGTCCGCTTCCCTGTGGGGAGGCTCGGGGCTGAATCTTTTCTTCGGTGCCTTTTTGTTTTTGACTGAACCCTGAGCCCTTGCACTGATCTATGTCCCCAGCTCTCCGGTTTACTTTTTAAATTTTGGGTCAGTATCTCACTAAGTTCTCCAGGCTGGACTCAAACCCAGAATCCGCCTGCCTCAGCCTCCCGGAACACTGGGATGAGAAGTGTCTGCCAGTGTGCCCGGCTGGGGCTGGCACCACGGGCCCGCTGGGCAGGCAGGGGCAGGACCGGGAGGAGGACAGGGGAGGCCGGACTCACCCTGCTCCAGCTTGCTGGCAGCAGCCCGCAGGGTGGAGGAGGTGTTGCCACCCTCCGCGCCGGGGGAGCCGGGGCGGCTGTTTCCCCGAGAGCTGCCTCCCGAGGGCTTCCGCTCCCGCTTGGGGGGCGTCTTCTTCTTCTGCAGAGGCGGGACGGGGATGAGTCTGGGACCGGACCGCACCTGCCAGCCCCCAGGCTGCCCGCCCCGGCCGAGCCTCACCGCCATGAAGAGCGCAGAGGAGGCCTCGCTGTCGATGTCGCTCTCCTCCGAGCTGTCGGACTCGTCGCTGCTGTCTGCGGGGACCAGGGCTGGGGGTCAGGATGGTGGGCACAGCCGGGCGCCCGCGCTCACCCTGGCGGCCAGCACCGACCGGGCGGGCCCACCTTTCCGGCGCTTCTTCTCCTGCGGGGTGGCGGCCTTCTTCTCCTCCTCCTCCTCCTTGTCCTCCTCCTGCGCAGCAGCTGGCTTCTCCTCCTCACTCTCCTCGCTGCTTTCGCTCTGCTCATCCACGCCTGGGAAGGCCCAGCGAGAGGGGTGAGGGCAGGGGCGTGTCCCGCGGCTCCCGGCACGCCCACCACCCAGGCCCCGCCCCACCACGACGACCACGCCCACCCCTCGAGGCCCCGCCTACCTTTAGGCCCCTCCTCCTGCTGTTGCACTTTGGGCTTGCCGGTCTCGGGCTCGTCCTGGGAGCTGCTGCAGGCGGAGGCGCACACAGGGAGGGCGTGTGGGAATCAATCCATCGGAGGGTCCAGGCCGGCCGGGGCCTCGCACCTGCCGCCCGCTGGCCTCACCTGGAGCCGTCGGACATATAGTCCACCTCCTGGCCTTCGAAGTCCCCGTCATCGCTGTCCTCAAAAGCCTCATCGTCTGAGCCCTTCTTCTTCTTCTTCTTCTTCCTGCCGGCCTTGGTCAGCGGCGCCTTCTTCTTGGTCTTGGAGGCCCTGCTGCCTGGGCGGGGAAGGACAGAGGCTGGGCTGCGACTCAGGGCACCTTTCCTGCTCCAGGATGGCCGCTCCCCAGGCCACCCACAGCCCAAGCATACGCCGGGAGGGCTGTCCCCCAGCACCCAGCGCGTGCTGTGGCCGGCCCGAGGTGTCCTTCCCCATGGGGACCCTGGCTTCCCAGCTTGTCGGCCTCCCCTGTGCGGCGGGGACCCGGCCCACCCTCTTCGCCGCTGGCCTCGCTGTCATCCGAGGACATCTCCAGGTCGTCCTCCAGGTCGTGGATGCGCAGCCCGCTGGCCTTTTCGCGGCTGCGTTTCTCCTTGTCCTCCTCCTCCTCGTCCTGGCCCTGGTCCTTGAGCCGCCGCTGCTGCATGATACTGAAGTGGTTCAGGACCTTGTTCCTCCTGTGGGGTGACAGGGGGTGGGGTGGGAGGAGGGGAACCACCCTCGGGACCTCCTCAGGGCCTGGGCCTGGCCACAGAGCGCCCCAAAACCCCAGGGAGAAAGCTGCTGCCTGAGCCAGCAGTGTGCCGCAGCTCTGCAAGCCCAGCACTAGGAGGCTGAGGCAGGAGGTTTGCAAGTTCCGCGGCCAGCCTGGGCTAGGCAGCAAGGCCCTGCCTCAAAGGAAAAAAACAGCAAACACAAGAGCACCCCCAAATCCTGGCGCTACATTTAATGAGAAACTTTAAGACTATGTCTATCCACTCCACACGTAGAAAATTCATGAGCACTGCAGAAAGGGATGGAGTTTGTTTGTATTTTCTGCAGTGCTGGGGATTCACCCAGAGCCTCGGCACTGAGCTGGCCCCAGTGAGGCCTTTTCCTATTCTTTTGAGACAAGGTCTTGCTGTGAAGTTCAAACTGCTTTTGAACTCATTATGTAGCTCAGGCTGGCCTCAAACTCACAGCGAGCCTCCTGCCTCAGCCTACCGAATTCTGGGATTACAAGCCTGCTCCGCTATTCCTGGTTCCTTTTTAAATTTTATTTTAAAGGCCGGGGATTTAGCTCAGCAGTACAAGCACCTGCATCATGAACATGAAATAGTGAGCTCCCCAGTACCAAAAAAAATTTAAGGCATAATCTAAGTGATTAAGTTGCCAGGCGGGACTGAATTTGTGACTTTCTGCCTCAGCCTCCTGAGTAGATGCGATGACACCTTTACAGGCGGCGCAGAGCCCAGGGCACCCTCCCCACACGACGGAGTGACCCTCAGGAGGACACGTGTTCAGCTGGACGGGAGCCCCACCCCTCTGCTCCGCCCCCGCCCACAGCCTGGGCCTGCCGCCCGCTCTGGGTGCCCCCCACGCCGCCTGGCTCCTGCCTGCCCGTGCGGCTCACCTCTCCCACTCCTCCTCGGCCTCCTCGGCCGTCAGCGTGCGGTGCCGGGCCAGCGGGGTGAAGTTGTACCAGTTGTGCACGGGGAAGGCCTCGAAGGCCCCGTCGGGGCACTGGGTGAAGATGTAGTAGGACGTGTTCTCTGTCACGCCTCCCTTCTTGATGCCCTTGAACCTGCGGGCAACGCGGTCAGGTCATGGCAGCACCCGTCCAGCCTGCACCCTCTGCGTCTGCCCCGCTGTGGAGCCCGCCTGGGTTCTCCCAGGATGAGCAGGTCTCTGTGTACCGTGATCGCTTCAGACTGCGACAGGCTGCTGCGGGGAGCCGGGACAGGACGGCCTGAGCCGCAGTGGACGCAGCCCAAGCCGCGTCTCACTGGGCCACAGCGACTCCCCAGCCCCCGTGTGGCCTGCTGCCGCGCCCCACACCCAGGCAATCTTGCCTGTTCAGATTTTCTAGTCTCGGTGATTGAATTCAGGACCTTCATACCGAGCTGTGTCTGCAGCCATTTGTATTTTTTGAGACAGGGGCTCTAAGTTTCCCAGGTGGGATTCAAGCTTGAGATCCTCCTGTCTCAGCCTCCCACAGTGCTGGGATTCGGGCATGTACCACCATGCCATACCCATTTGCAATCTTGCTCCAAGAGCCTAACCTGGCTTAACAGCGGCAAGGGCCCCCAAGGTCACCTGCGTCCTGGCGCCTCCTGTCCTGGGCAATCGTCTGCCATCGGTCACTGCCATGCGGTCTGCCTGGAACTGCTCTCAGCACCCTGACCTCAGTGCTCTGCCCTGCCCGCAGGCTGCCCCTCCAATAGGGTGACCCAAGCCTCCTCACCCCCCAAATGCAGGCCTGCCTGCCGACAGGACTGCGGGGCCAGGCACAAACGCCAGTGAGCTTCATCTCCTGACGACACCCAGCTCCCCCCGTCTACGGCCTGGCATGGTGTCGCATGCCAGTGGTCCCTGCACTCTGGGTGGCCGGGGCAGACAGACGGCAAGTTCCAGCCCTGCCTGGGCAACTGACCGACTTAGCTAGACCCTGTTTCAAAATGATGATGGTAATAATAACATTAATATTAAACAATACAAAATTTAACCTGGGCTGCGTATATACCTTGGCGTGAAGGCCCGGGGTTAAATCCCCAGGACCTCAGACAGGAGGATCCCTGCGAGTTCTAGGCCAGGGCGCCAGGCAGGGGCTGCAGTGCCCGCCTGTCATTCCAGCACCCTGGGAGGCTGAGGCAGGAGGATCCCGAGCAATTTACCAACTTAGCGATACCGGGTCCCAAAGCAGAACGGGCTTGGAGATGTGGCCCCATGAGAAGTCCATCACCAGCAGAGGAGGTGCTGGTGCCCTGCGGCACTGAGGAGCTGAGGCGGGGAGGGGACCCCCACCCCCAGGAGTCCCCCCACCGCTTACTTCCGGCCCGACTTCCCGTTGACGCGCAGCAGCCAGGGCTGGTCCTCGGGCCGGAACTCCTTCAGGACGATGCCGTACTTCTTGCGTCGTGCCTCCTCCCGGAGCTTGCGGTTGAACTCGCTGCCCGCGCCAGACTCGGGCATCTCCTCCTCCTGGTAAATTTTCTTGTTGCTCAGATCCCGCTCCAGCCGGGCCTGGGGAGCAGGAGGAGAAACCTGTCAGGGCTCCCCTTCCCTGGCCCGTGGGGGACACTCTGCCTCCCTGTGCTGCGCCCCCGGCACTCGAACCAACTTGCTGCTGGGGGCACAGGGTACCGGACGCCAGGATTGGAGAATCAGGTACAGAGACTTCGGGGGGGGGGGGGGGAGGCTTAAACAACTAGCAGTGAAACAGAACGGTCAGCCCAGCACTTGAGAGGCTGAGGCAGGAGGGTCACCATGAGTTCGAGGCCAGCCTGGGCTACAGAGTCAGGGTTCAAAGGCCAGCCTGGACTACCTAAAGAGACTCTGTCTCAAAACAACATGAGGGGGGCACCCGACAGCTTCCCTGCGGTGTATGTGGGTTTCCAGCATCATCGGCTTGGCCTTTGGAGTCATCACTCAGTAAAACAAAGGTCCCGTGGATGCAAACGCTGCGACAGCCGGCCTCGTAACTGGAAGGATGCGCTGGGCCAAGAGCCGACGCGTGTCCCAGATGAGACCCGGCAGGCAGCAGAGCCGGGATGGGAACAGTGAGGCGCTGTCTAAATCCAGAGCTTTGCATGGGACACTTTCAGGACAAGTTGACTGTAGGTGACTGAAGTCACGGGATGGGGCCAGGGACACAGCTCGGCGGCACAGTGCCTGCCTGGCAAGCACAAGATCCTGAGTTCGAGTCTCAGTACCAAAAATGTATACAAATATGTGAATCAAATGACGAGAAGGCAAAGGGCAGACAGGGTGAGGGGCCCTCAGACGGCACCGTCGGCACCACGGCTCTCCCTCACCCCTGATCCAATCTGCCAGCAGACCCCGTAGGCTCTGACTTCCAGGTCCCCCGCTCCCGGGCATCTGGCCAGCACCCTAACCTCCTCCTCTCCAAGCTAGTCTCAGCTCCCTGCTCAGGCCACTTCCCCACCCAGGCAAATCTCGACCCACAATTTCCCACCCTGGATATAATTTCAAATCACTCTTCTTTTTCTTTTGTGCAGCAGAACTGGGAGCTGAACTCAAGCCTTTGCACAGAGCACTATCCCTAGTTTGTTTGTTTGTTTGTTTGTTTGAAGACAGCGTTTTAAGTTGCTAAACCACTGAGGCTGAGGCTGAGCTGGAATTTGTGATCTCTTGCCTCAGCCTCCCGACTTCTGGGATTACAGGTGTACCCCACTTAAATGTTTCATTTAAGGAGAAGACCATTTCTGGGGCCTAACAAACCACAGCGAGCTGCTTGGCCGCGACTCCGCTGTCCTTTTATGTCCATTTGGGGAAAGCAAAGAAAGCAAAAGCTTAGTTACCACTACAGCTGAGCAGCTATTACAGCCTTCAAGTCCAGGGTCAGGTTGTCTCAGCTCCCTCCCTCTAAACTCCCAAACCAGGGATTTACCTGATTCCACGTAGCAAAGTTCACCTTGTCGGCCGCATTGAAAGCCATTATATTATATTTTTTCGTTGTGTTCCTGGAGTAACCGAAAAGGAGTAGTGATGAACCAATCAATTATTCATTCAACAAACCCATATTGGTTCAGTCCTTTGTGCTGAGCAATGCTAGAGACTCAGAAAAACCCTAAGGTTCTCAGACTGTCAGGGAAGCCACAGCCATCTATTTACACCCCGTACAGAAGAAGGGCAGAAGATCTGGCAGAACTAGACGTGTGGGGATCATTAAGAACTGGGGAGGAGGGAGGGAGGAAGGCAAATGGGCAGTCTTGCTATGTAATTCAGGTCTCCAACTCACAGCCATCTGCCTGCCTCAACCCACATACTGGGATGCCAGTTGTGCACCACCATGCCCAGCTGCGAACTGGTTTTGGAAGGAACAGTAATAATGCCATCTAGCCGGGTGTAGTGGTGCAAACCTATCATCCCTGACTCGCGGGCGAAGCCTCCGTCTCAAGCCCTGCCTCGGGGAAGCACCGGCGGCGGAGCTGGGAACCCCCACAAGCTGCTTTAATTCCTTCTGGGACCAGGAGTGGAGGTGGGCCCAGGGACTTACTTGGGAACGCGAACGACGTACTCGGTGACATTCTGGCTGCCGGGGCCCTGCGGAGAGGGCAGGTGGGAGGTCGCGTGAGGAGGGGCGCCAGGCAGCCGCGGCGATCCCGAACCCCGTCCCATTCATACTCACCAGGGTCGCCATCGGTAAGACTCGGCCGCTGGGGTCCGCTCCGACCCTGATTCTTTCCGTCTGCCCCGGGACTGGGCCCTCAGTCCAGGGAACCCGCTCTCTCGGCGCTGGGTCTCGGGTCCGCCTGACCTACGGCGCCAAACACCCCGCACAGCCGGCCACAGGAAAACTCACCCGGAAGTAGCCCTTGACTGGTTCCTTCGGGCGCCTGCGCAGAAGCCTGACCCGGAAGTTAAACTTCTCGAACCGCGTCGCCACGGCAACCTTCTTAGTGGTGGCGTTTCTACTCACGGTTGTCATTTAGGAACCCAATTTGGGGCAAATACCTGTAATCCCAGCATTGAGGAAGGCTGAGGCAGGAGAATCGCAATCCAGATCCCACCTGGGCAGTTTAGCGAGACTAGCTCAAAAAAGAAAAAAGAGCAGGGCATGGTGGCACACGCCTGTAATCTCAGCACAGGGAGGCTGAGGGAGGTGGATAGATGTGAGCTAGAGATAATGAGTTCCAGGTCAGCCCCTGGACTACATAAATAAAGCTGAGGATGTAGCTCAGTGGCAAATTACCTCTTGGCTTCAGCCGCAGTACCACAAGAAAAACTATGACATCACAGGGTCTCTGCCTTTTTTCTTTATTTAATTAATTAAGTAAGTAAGTAAGTAATTTATTTTTCTTTGAGACGGGGTCTCGCTTTGCAGTTCAGGCTGGCCTTGAGCTCACTTTGTAGCCCAGACTGGTCTCGAACTCCCAACGATCCTTCCACGTCAGCCTCCGGAGTGCTGGGATTACAGGCGTGAGCCACCACGCCCGGCCTCCTGCCTTTTTTCAAACCCAAGCCAATTTGACATCAATAACTCACAGGCCTTTAATCCCAGCTACCTGAAAGGCTGAAGCAGCGTGGGCTCGTGGTGCACGCCTGTAATCTCAGCAATAAGGAGTCTGAGGCAGGAGATCACTGCGCGTTCCGGGCCAGACTGGGATGCATAGTAAATTCAAAACTTGTCTCAAAAAAAAAGCAAGCAGGAAAATCTCAATTTCCAAGCCAGCCTAGGAAATTTAGTGAGATCCCATCTCAAAATTTTAAAAGCCAGGCGTGGTGGTTCACGCCTGCAATCCCAGCACTCGGGATGCTGAGGCAGGAAGAGGTGCAAGTTCCAGACCAGCCTGGACTACATAGTGAGCTCAAGGCCAGCTTGAACTGCATAGCGAGACCCTGTCTCAAAAAGACAAAAAAGATTTTTAAAAAGCCCGGACATGTAGTTTAGTGCACGCCCGACCGATGGTTGGGGCGCTTATAGAGCGATAAAGTAATCGTGACTCGTGGGAACGCCTTCCCCCATGACGTCACACTCAGGGACCGCGGGGCGCCGGGGTGAGCCAGACGAAAGCCTCTTGACCTGGGGTAGCTTGTGCGCATGCGCCAGTCCGCTCAGGAAGCGGTGCAAGGAGTCTTCGTCGCTATAGCAACCGAGGCCGGCTTTGCCAGGGTCGCGATTTCCCCAGGCTCTGCTGGGGCCTTGTTTAACGTTCATTTCCAGCGCCCTGCCACTGTGTGTGAAGGCAGATATCCCTGTCATTCTGCAAAAATGATCAGGGCAGCGGCCTTTGTGATACCGAGCCAAACCAGAAGGGGTCAGGCCCAGGATGGGGGTGGGGCATGGTTTCCCCGAGGGCTGCTGACCGGATGGGGCTGTGCAAATCCAAGCTGCCCCAGGTGGGCAGAGCATTGCGGCCGCAGGAAAAGGATGATAGGGCAAGGATGGCTGCCTTACTGAGGGGGAAGGGAAGGAGACAGCGGAGGGCATTGGGGACATGGCAAGTGTACCCTCTATCCACATGTGTCACCCCGTCCTGGCGGTAACAACTGCTCATGCTCCTGGCTCAGCTATTTATTCATCTTTTTCTGATTTTATTTTTTAAACAGGGTCTTGCTCTGTAGTTAGGGCTGGCCTTGAGCTCACATGGAGCCCACGCTGGACTCAAATTCATGCTAATCCTCCTGCCTCAGTCTTCCGAGTGCCGGGATGGCAGGTGTACGCCATCACGCCTGGCGATTCATTCATCTTTTCCAGACATAGTTAAATGACTTCTGGGCTCTCAAAGTAAAACAAGCTACGCATACTCTTGGTGATGACAGTGTAGCAGAGGGAAAAGACTGAGTAAATGGAATCTCTTGTCCTGAGTGGTTTCGACAGGCCCCTGATGGATGCATAGGAGTTGGCTAAACAAAGGGGAAGGAAAGCAAGACACAAACACTGGACCATAAACTATGGTGGCCTTGGACATTACGTATTCCCTCGTCGATACTGGATGTCAGGGACTGTGCCAGCTGGTGGGAAGATAAGGATAATGAGGAAGAAGTGGTTCTAGCTGTCACGCAGAGCAGATTCTCCACGGGGACCGAAAAACAGGGGCACTCAGGACCCCTGGTGGCCACTGCTGGGTGGGCAAGGGGGCTCTGGGGCAGGCAAAGTCCGGGTAGGAGGCTCTGTGGATGGAAATGGAGATGTCAAATGGGTGAGCTGTGGCCAGGAGAAACTGAGGCAGCCCAGGGTTTTTCTGGTGGAGGGAACAGCAAGGGAAGAATGCAGGGAACAGAATGGAAGCTGTTGAACAGGGAGGGTGCTGTCTGAGACCCTTGCCCCTCGCTGAGCCTCAGTTTGTTCAGCTGTAAAATGGGATGATGGAGTCATTAGGTTCTTCAACAGGCCCATGTCTCAGTAAAGCATCTCTCAGCAGCATCATGCCACAGTGTCCCTGGCCCTATCCCTGCGCACAATGACTACCCCTACAGGCCACCTTAGTGCCAGAAGTGCTAAGAGCTAGTTATGGCGGCTCACACGTGTAACCCCAGAACTCGGGAGGCTGAGGCAGGAGGACTGCTGAGAGTCCAGCCAGAACCACACAGCAAGACCCTGCCTCAAAAGCCAAAACAACAACAACAATAATAATGTCATCTGGAGCTATTTTAATTCTATAAGAGCATGTATGTAGATTCTTTTATTGTCCCTTTTTTTCTTTCTAGCTGAAACAGAGTCTCAGTGTGTAGTCCTGGAGCTCCCAAATGCTGAGATGATAATCCTCTTGCCTCAGCCTCCCAGGCTGTGATAATAAGCATGCACCATCATGTCTGCCTCTAAAAATTTTTATTTTGAAATAGGGTCTCTGTAAGTCCTTCAATTGGCCAGGCTGGGCTGGGACTTGGAATCTTCCTGCCTCGGCCTTCCAGAGGGCTGGGGTCACCGGTGTGTGCCATCACACCTGGCACCACCATGTTATCTGAGGAATCTGAGCGTGCTGGCCTGTTGGTATCCAGGGAGATCCTGGGATCACACCGATCAGGATACCAAGAACGAAACGGCTACTCCCTGTGAGAGCACGCAAGCCTCACCCGCCCCTCCTGAGGCCATTTTGCCACCTGCAAAAGCAACATCACCCACGTCCCTTTCCTAACATCAGGAGACAGGAGGACTAAATGACACCCAGCAAGTCTGGGACCAGTGCACGGTCTAGTTCTCACACCCCAGAGCAGACTCAGGATTCAGGGTGAATCAGGAGGCTGAGGCAAGAGGATTTCCTGTGCCCAGGAATTCAGGACCAGCCTGGGGGATGGGGTGGGACTGTTCTCTTCCCTTTTTTTTTTTTTTTTTTTTTCTGGTACTGGGGTTTGAACCCAGGGTCTTCTACTGAGCTACAGCCCAAACAGGGTCTTGCTAAGTTAAAGTGCCCAGGTTGGGCTCAAATTTGTGATCCTCCTGCCTCAGCCTTTTCTTGAGGGGGGGAAGGAGCGATTTAGGCCAGGGTGTGTCTCCCTGGCAGAGGACTTGCCCAGGAGGTAATGGTGCTGAAGTTCAATCTCCAGGGCTGCAAAGAAAAGAAATAAAAAGCAATCTGGGCACTGGCAGGACACGGTCTCCCCTGTCCCCAACCGATTTCCAGGCTGTAGAAATCAGTCTGCGCCGGGTGAGGCTGTCCCAGGCACTGACCCCACCTCTTCAGCCCTCAGGGTCTGGTCTTGAACATGGTCAGCGAAAAGATGTCCCAACCGAGCAGCTGCGGCTTCCTCACCCACGGCTTCCCGCGGGTGCTGACGCAGGTGTAGGAGTTTGAGCTCTTAGGGCGCGACTCCAGGCGAGTGCGTGTGCGCATGCGCAGGTGTAGGCGCGGGTGCGCGCCTGCCCTGGGGACTGAGGCTCAAAGGAGATGTGACCAGGAGCACCCAGAGTTTGCGATCCTTCGCACAGTGGACACCGTCAGGCTCCATAGCCCATGCCCACCTGGAATCCCACCTACTTAGGAGGCCGAGGCAGGAGGATCGCACAGGCTCCGGTCTACTCTGTACAGTTTATCCTCTCGCTGGTGACCCTGTCTGAAAAAAAAAATGCTTTTAAAGGGTTAGGGCTGTAACTCATGGAGAACACTTGGTTCAATTCGAGTGGTGGAAAAAATAAAAAATAAAATAGCCCCAGCGTCCCTCTGCAAAACCTGGGGGGCCAGGGGGCGGGGGGCGTGGACGGCTCCGGAGGTGAGTCCATCTGTGCAGCGGGAGGACCGGGCCCGGCTCCCGGAAGCCCCGCGAGCCTCGCATCGCTGTTGCCATGGGAACGTGCCCCGCGTTGCCTAGTGCAGCTTCTCCAGAGAAGCTGGGGATTGGGAGGTGTCGGCTCCCCCCGTTTCTTCCTGCAATCCCGAGATGGAACCGGGGCTTCTACACTGAGCTGCCTCCTGCCGTTTACTTAGGTGTGTATTTCTTTATTTTGAGACAGGCCCTAACTAAGTGGTTAAATGGCCTGGGTGGGCTGCAACTTTCGATCCTCCTGCCTCAGCCTCCTAGAGGTTTGGGATGACAGACATGGCGCGCCCACGCCCGGTGTTGGCCATGAATTCTTAAAAAGAAAATGTGCTGTTAGGAGAGCTGTGGTTCCATCACCAGTACTAGAACAATCCAGCAACCAACAATGGTGAGAGGCCGTGTTGTCCAAAGGTTCGGAACACGCTGGAACCTGGGTCAGGTCTGCAGCCACCGTCCCGAGGCTCTGCAGCCACCTGAGGTGTCCATCCAGCTGGCTTGGCTGTCACCGGCCACCTGCCTCAGCCCCGGCTGAGGGGTGCAGGGGTGAATGAACCAGGCCTGAAAAGGTGCATTAGACCCCTGAAGCTGGTCGGGGGGAGTCTGGGGTGACTGACTCACTGGAGGCGACCACAGAAGGGAACCCCCTCCACCCTGCCCATGGGAACAGCTT